CTTGCACTCGCAGCACTTGAGGCAGCGCATGTGCCACTGCTTGTCCACCGCCAGCAGGTAGTAGCGGTCGGAGATCTTGCCCCCGCAGCCGGCGCACAGCGCAGCGCGGTCACTGCTGATGGACGGCATGGTCTGCGGAGGGAGGGAGGCGCAAGACCGCAGCGCCTGCGTCAGCCTGCGACCCCACAGCCGCCGCGCCGCGGGGAAACAGGCACGCACCCGCAACTCCCTCGGTGGCTCAAGCTAGCCCTAAACGCAGCGGGGTGGCTGCTAGGGTGTGTGGTTCGCTTCCTCCACGCCAAAAGGCCCATATCCAAGGGGCTCAGAACCCAGGTCCGCCCGTGCAGCCCAAGTCGGTCGCAGGCCCAGGAACGGCTGCTGGCCTGGACAGACCTTCCTCCTTACTTCCCCCCCTTCCTGTCCCCTCTGCTCTTTTCCCGAAGGGCTCAAGCTTCGTTGGGGGACTGGATGGCTACTTCAGCCAAGCCCTCCAAAAGCTCTCCCCAAACTGTTTCTTAAAGAAGCCACTCTGCTGGGCCCCAAGAAAAGGAATAAGATGACCATTATAAAAGTCACCCTCCACACAGACTCCTCTCCAGAGACTCGGTGGAGTTCTTGGCCCCTAACCCCAGTGATCTCTGGATTCTTAAAGCGGAGGTTTAGGCCAGGGCAAATAGTGCGCGGCTACCACTTCTGCCACATTGGCTGGGGCCCTCTTAGGTCCTGAGAGAGGGTGAGTGGGGTGCATGGGCACCCTCAAAGTCTCCCAGTGCAGGACAGGCCCAATCCAAATCCTCTCCTAACCAAACTGACAGGCTGAGTGGGTACAACTCCGGAAGAAGAGCTTGAAAGCAGAGGCACTGGGGCTTCTCTTCTCGCACTCCAAGCAGAGAAGATTCGCCGCTGCTCTCCACCTCCTTAGCCTCTAAAGGTCACTGCGGGGCCTGGCTTGGGCAGTGTCTGTTTGTCTGGCCCCCAGGGAGGTCTGAGGCAAGAAACTGGCTATTTGGGGCTGAGCTGGTGGAGCCAGGTGTGGAGATCCGAATGGACTCTCCTTCCACAAGAACCAGGCCAGAGCCTGAACAGCCAGCCCTAACCGGTCCGAGTGGGGCCAGCCAGGAGGCCCGAGATGCGAACAACGAAGAGCGCTGGCCTGGAAGACTTCGACCCCTGAAATTGCGCTGGGATAGGAACCCCGATTGCCAGGAGGCGGAAAGTAGCTCCAGTCGGCTGGAGACCCCGGTGCTGCGGGGTTGGATCGTCCTTCCCCGCGCCGAAGGCGGCCAGAGCGGAGGGCTGGAGGAGAGCGCGGGGTTGGCGACCAAAGAGCCCCTTGAAGTGAAAAGAGAGCCATCGGGCCGCGGGTAGGACTTCGCTCCCACTTCGGGAGAAATGCTCTCTTCCACCTTTAGGGTGTGAAATTTCGGTCTCAACCTTGTTTCCCTCCTCCGCCCCAGCAGCCGGGTTTCCCGTGAGCCGGGAGCTACGGGCCTTGCATCCTGTCCGCAGATCCCCAGCGTCCAGTCCCGCGCGGCACGAAGAACACTCCCCAAAGTGCCCCCAAACTTAGGTGAGCAAAGGCGCAGACCGATCCGGCCGCGTCCCAGCTTCTGGCCCGGACCCCGCAGCCGTGCGCCTACCGTCTCCGTGTCGCCGCGGTCGATGGCGGAGCTGATGGCGGGAGCCTCGCTCTTGGCCCTGCGGTCCATCTCGTCGATGACCCCGTGCACCTCGGGGCCCGACAGGCTGTGGAACAGCATCGCGGCGGGACCGGCGGGGCCGGGGGCGCGGCTCCTCCGCGGGAGGGCTTGCCCCCCGCCTCAGCTGCCTGGCGCTCCCCGCGCTAACGGGCCCGGTGCATCGCCACCGCGGCCCCGGCCCCGCCCGAGCTCGGCTGTGCCCCCAGGCCGGGCTCTGGGCCCCGGGCGCCCGCGGGCCAGGACGCCTCCCGCCGAGGCGCGGGGGCAACTACATCGCGGGGCGCCTGGGCGGCGGCGCCAAAGCCAGGGTCACAAGGGCACGGGTCGGGTCGGGGGGGAGGTGGGGTGCGGGAGGGGGCAAGAGACCGGGGCAGAGGTCGGCGCCCGCCGCGGGCGCTTTCACGCCGCGGGCATCGCCCGCCCGGCTTCGGCGCCCCGGGCGCAAAGCAGGAGCGCAAACTCTGCCCGAGGCGGCGACGGCTGCGGTCGGGGCTCACTGGGGAGCGACTAGGTGCCCGCGGCGGCCCAGCTGCCTGGACCTCTCCCCTCCCCGGGGTGTGCCCCCAGCCCAAGGCGACCCGCTTAGGCGCTGGGTCGGCTACGGGAGTAAGGGTTCCTCCGGAGCCAGCGAGCCGAGCGGAGACACCGGGAGAATTGAAGAGGAGGAGGAGGAAGAGGAGGAGGCGGAGGTGGAGGAGGAGGAGAGAAAGGAGGAGGAGCAGAGTGGGAGGAGGAGCCGCCGGCCGCGGGCCCCGCCGCGCGCAACGCTCTCCAAGAGCGCGCCGAGCCCAGCCCCGGCTCTGCAGTCCGCGCCAGCCAAGCGTCCGCGCCTTTTCTACAGCCGCGCCTGACATCACGTCCTGCCGCCGCGCCATTGGCCGCCCGGCACCCCGGGCCCCGGCAGCGCGTGCTCCGGGAAGGCGGGAGACCCGAGAGGGAGGGGAACCGCAAGAGGAGGAGAGGAGCGACGAGATGGTGGGAGCTGGTGGGCGAGGCTGGGGGGCGGGGGCGGGAGCCAGGGAGGGAGGAGGGGGAGCGCGGGGTTTGGAGTTTTAAGCTACAAACAGTTTGCTGCGATTTTCTTCGGGAAGGAAAACTAAACCTTCTCTCCCCGCCGTCTCCATCCTAAGAAGGCGCAGCCGCCAGAAGATGCTTGAGGAAGGGCTCCCTCGGGTAATCCCTCGGCCCGGAGCCGCCCCTCGGGCACCGGCTGGGGAGGCCTGGGAAGGCCGGCCTGAAGCAGAGCTCGGGGAGCCTTCGGCCGCTTCCCGCCGAGTCCTGCCTTCCGCCCGGGCTTCGCGCCGCGGGGCTGCGGACTGCCGCGCAGGCCTCCCGCGGACCCGGCTGAGCCAGAGCGGCAGAAACCGGCGGGAGCTGTGGCTCCCGGGGAGGGCGGCCAGTTAGCTTACCCTGGCTCCAAGCGAGCTAGGGCCCAATTAATGGCCCGGCGTGTAGTTCCCAGTCTCTCTTCCTGTTCTCTCTCCAACCTGGAAGAGTGGGTGCCAGCGTGGCTTTACGAACTAGAAAGGCATGGGTTCTGATCCTAGTTCTGCCGCTGACTTGCAGTGTAACCTTCGGCAAGTGACTAAACTTCCCTACGCCCGTTTCTGATCTTTTAAGTGCGGGTCAAGAAAGCCCTCTCCACGTGGATGTGATGAGCGAAAGAGATCACGAATGTAAAATGCCTGGAACATAGTAGGCACTAAGGAAATTCTTTCATCCCTTCCTTTCCTCTCTTCTTCCCTTTAAAAACTTTCCCACTCTGAGCTACATTAGGCATCAGTGAGGTTCTTAAAAACCACAGGCCCATGGCGCTGTCCGCTGGGTGCCTCATGCCACAGACCAGTTATTGAAGGGCATCCTTCCTGCAGCTTGGCTGCACCACTTCTCCAACAACCTGGCCTGCCGCAAGAGTCCCAACTACCACCCCAAGCCCCGGACTTCAAGCTCCCCCAAGAGACTCTTGGGAGTGACGGGATGGGTGATGAAGAGGGATTTAGGTAATAAAAAGCGATTGTAGGTAAAAACTGAATGAGCTACTTGGTTACAGAATCCCAGTCTCCTGGCTCTGCCTTGGAGGCGGTTCGTGTGCAGTGACTTGCTTGCCAACAGGAGGTAGGGGGCTAGCCAGGATCTGTGTAGTCTACCTTACAGAGCATAGAACTGAGGCTGTACAAAACATACTTTTACACAAGTCTTACATAAATTTCAAACAACTCCATGTGAGCTTGTAATGCCCAAGCACAGACATGTTCATTTGTGCAAAATGCACATGTTCATCTTCGTTGGCAAACACTTCGAGTGTAAGTATACAATGCCAGGCAGGAGGATGCATCTATACACTGGAAAATTGCCGTTATAGGTACTCTCAGACAACTCTATGGAGATCCCTGCGTAGGACTCTCTGAGGCCATGCTCTGCATATTTGCAAAACTCTCCAAGTTTCAAGAATGTGTGTACATGCTGCACATGCACAGATGCCCTCAAATGAGGAATGGACCATCAACGCAAAGCCGCGCGTGCGCGAGTGTTCACACAGACGTGCGTGTGCTCTAGCGCCTGCACAAGGCCAGCACCCAGGCACACTGACGCCTGCACGCGTACACATAAGCATGTTTTACTGACGCATCTGGGGCACTTTCTTCAAAGAAAGGAGGGAATGAAAATCTCATCTGGGAGTCACCGGGGTTCATCGGGAGGTTGCCCAACGGGTAGGAAAAAAACTGTAACAACACTTTGAGCATTTGTCTGTGGTACAGCTCTGTGCCCAAGCTGGAAGGATGCAATACGTTTCCTAGAACTCGAGGGGCTGGATCCCTTCGGAGCTGCAGGGCGGGGGGGAGGAACATTCGGTTACTCTTGCCGCGGGCTTCCCCAGAAAGGTGGAAACACACCCTGCGGCTCTTCACTTCCCCCGTGTCTGTACGCACACGCTTTCTTCGCCACCTCTCTGACCAGCACTCCACACCCACCGCCGATCGACCCCGAATTCCCTGGCGCTCAGGATTCCCGCCGGGTGCGCCCGCCTATGTATCCCTCCATGTCTGGCTGGGACGCGCTCGGGTCGGCAAAGGGCTCAAACTTCATTTCCCGCCACGGGATCTGGGCGCCCCTCCCGCCCCCCTCCAGCCCTGAGTTCAGTGGCCGGTAACTTTGCTAATCTCCCCCAGCGGCGAGGGGGACGTCGCACAACCACTGAGCCCTGTCCGCGGAGACTAAACAAGGAGAGGAACAGGCTGTAAACACACATCCTGACACGTGAGTGACATTTACACAGTGCAAGAAGCCGCAGCCGCGAGGATGGCGGCGGGTGGGGGGAGCAGGCATCCGCAGGTAAATGGAACCTTCGGAAGCGCCGGAAACAGAGGCCCCTCGACGCCCCTCCCCCAGGTAGGGGAACGGACTCCCCAGGTCGCCTGAACCTGCCTTCTGTGGGAGGTGACAGGTGAACGGAATTCAGGTCTGGCTACTCTAGCGGCTGCCTACCTCCCCACCATCTGCTTCCTCGCAGACAGGCAGACCCGGCGCATAATGAGGTAGCAGCCTCCAGCCGGCCACCGTGACTAACTCAGAACAAAAGCGCTCCCTCCACGCCTCTTCCAACAAAGGGGCCACCAGCCCCGGCGCTCCCCGAAGGCTGCGGGGCTCCGGGCTGCCGGCTGCGGAGCTGCCGCTCGCAAACTTCCCGGGGCTGCCGGCGCCACGGAGCCGGGGCCGCGGAGGGAGGAAGCACATGCCGCCCAGAGAAAGTGAGGCCGGGCCTGGTGGGGGAAGAGGGGGCGGGAGCCGGGCAGCCGCGGAAGGAGGGTGATTGATCAGTGCGCCGTTCCCGGCGCTCTGTCCCGTTATTAGAGGCGGCCAAAGCAGGGCCACGCAATAACCTCCGAATCGCCAACTAATTGACGCTGCAGGCAACTACTTCATTGTGCGCGCTGGTTTTATGTCTTCATAGCCGGTGATTGACAAGGTGTAATTAGTCATCTCACTCGGTGATAAACATGGGCACCCTCCTCCCGCGGCATCAGGCCGTGTGTACCAGCAGAGGAAGCGATAGTTGACGCTGATATACCATTAAATCAAAATGAAGACGTTCAGAAGTGTGTGTTTGCTGTGACGCTCTGATGGTTTATTTCTCAAATACGGCACCAACAGATTTACTTGATTTGCAAGTTAACTACAACATTAACTGGTTTTATTTATTTTGCCTCTTCTTTCCTTTTCCTAGGCAGGGATGTTGCTCTTGGAGAATGTGAAGACAGTTTGCTTCTTGACAAGCGAGCGAACGGGCGCCCAGATTTTTGCAGCCTCTCGAGTCTCTCCCGAGGGAAAGGCAGGCAGAGAAAACGCCTGATTTGGGAGCCACCAGGGAAGGATTCCGCACAGGGGGAGCCGCCCTCTTTGGCCCCAGTCCGGCCTGCCGGGGACCCCCTTTGGGCATAGCCAACGGATGACCTGAAACACTGAGGATGGTTCGGGGATTGGGGTGGGGAAAGCCTTTTGGATAATAACTGCAAAGAAGAAAGAGGCGAAGACAACTGTTTCTTCTCTGCCTTGCAGCAGGAGGAACTGTGTTCTTAAAGCTGTTGGCTGCAGTCACAGGGCCAGTTGCCTGCCTCCGTTCCCTGAGTAAAGTGTAATGTCTCCTGTTTTCAGGGTGCACCCTTCAGCAAATTATATATCTTGCTTGACTGTGAAGTAGGTCTTGCTAAGGAAGTGTGTGTGTGTGTGTGTGTGTGTGTGTGTGTGTGTTTATGGGGGTGTGTCTCTCTACAGTGAGGCTGCTACTAGAGGTGCTAGTTATTCATTTCAAAAACCTGGTGGTTAAAAACTTTAAAAAGGGAGGGAGCATTGCTGGTTGGGCTCCCTGGGATTGCTGGGGTCTGTCTTGACTCTAATTCTTGGTAGAGAATGGCACGGACTGAACAAAACTACCACCACCAACTGAAAGCCCACTGCCAGTGTATCACACAGGCCCCCAGGAACCCCCCAGTGGGGAAAGCTCCCTGCACTTTCCCCTTCTCTCAAACCTTGAGTTTGCTTAGCAGAGGAATGTTGATTCCTTGCCACTATGCAGGAATGTGGGGTTGTGGACATCTCCAAGAAGAGATAGGGTGAAGCCGAGTCACAAGGATGGCAGAAAAGTTCCATATTTTCAAAAATGACCCCCTTCTACCCAGGCCTGGGCAGGGGAGGCAAAGAGGGGAGTGTTTTATACTGATGTGAGAGGCTGTCAGTCAGCAGCAAATCAGCTCAGGCATGGCCACTTTATGAAATCAACTCTTTGCCTTGGTCAAACCTTACCAAAAATCTGCTGGTTACTCCTACTGACAATATAAATTAGCTGGTCCTTAGTTTTTTCGAGGAAGAACACCATGTCTGTTGATAGATAAATGGCTTGGCCCGACTCAGGCAGAGAGGAGCCCAATTCCTCCTCCTCTTATCCCTGCAGCGATCTGAACAGTTCCGAAACCGCCTCCCAGGGCGTCAGCTGAGCAGGTTGGGGAACTAACCAGGGCCCTCTCTCTAGGGCCCTGTTAAATGCACTGAACTTAAAATGAAACACGAAGTGTGAATTTCAGGTTTGAACATGATGCATCAGGAAACGTGGAGGTTGGCAGCCCTTTTCTCCCTCCTGCCTTTCGGTAGCAGGTATTAATATTGTATTAAATGTTATGAGAAAGTAAGGGCTACGGAGAGGAATGTGCTCAGATGCAATTTTGTCAAGGTTTTTATCTGTGATTATGATTCCAGATGTAGAAACTCCCGGAGGAGGGAAATGAGGGGCTGCTGGCGTGTGACATGTGTTTTAAGGTGTTTGGCAGTGTTTCTCAAAGTGGTGACAAAATGTTCAATTTTATTACAGGAAATCGGCAAAAGAAATATGAATATACTAGGCTGGAGAGTGTTCATCTCAGCAGAGGATTTACCATTATTGATTAGGGTGGGGAAAGTTTGTATCTGGGTCCCCTTAAATCACATTGTCAACAATGTAAATCTGTCAGATCAGATTATTCTGAAAGCACTATTGTAACAAAATACACAATAGCTAATTGCATCTCTCTACCTTCTAATTTCCGTGCAAGATGCAAACTGCCCTGGAAGCACACACAAAAAGTAAATATTGCAACGTGTCATTTTTTAAAACTGGTGTACCTACCACCATTGCTTGAGAGTAATTCTTCTTAACCTAACCCAGAATACTTCTCAGTCCTAGAAGGGACCCTAGTCCTAGAATTTTGCTCATTCTGTTAGTCTGGTTGCTTTTTAGGTAGGAGCACAACTAATAGCAATGAATTTCCTCACACAGGGAACCACATTTTGCTAAAAGGAAAATCAGGAAGATTGTATGGGAAAAAAAAAAAAGTGGGGATGGGGGAGGAAGCAGCTGAACTCTTGACTGACAACTCTTGTATCTACATGCGCTTGAGCCTGGAAAAATTCCTACCACAGTCTTTTCTCCATTCAGAGACATCTCTGCCACCCTCTCTGACAGCAGGACACCCCTAAACTCTATATCCAAGCAAAGGTTCCCCCATAAACATTTTATGAGCTTCACATACACTAATCGACGCGGGTACCCAGCCAGCGCTGACTAGACTGGAGGAGGATTTGGTAAACATTTCTATAGAACAAAAAGAGGGGGTTTTGGCTAAAGATGCTGGACTTGGCTCTCCCACGAGTCCTCAGCCAGAGACTCAGCAGACACAGGACACATTACTGCATATGGATTGCCCCACATCTAGCACACGCAGTCTGGTCTGTCAGCCCATTTCCCGAAGCTCACAAGTATTCAGCCCCAGCCCTTCCTACATCCCGGCTAAAGAATGTTGATTTTGGCTTCCCAGCCACTGGCACTACTTTACCATCACAAAACATACTGGTTCCTAGCACAAATTGCACCTTCCTGGGAAGGAAGAAGGTTCTCCTGTGAGGTGGTACATTTCAGAGGGGAGCAGTGAGGTTGCACGGAAGGGAAAGGCTCAGCGAGGCCACCACCATCTCTCCCTGCGCCTTCAGCAGAGCCCTGTCTCCACCCCAGCCCAACTTTCCACTGGCTTGATTAGCAAACCTCTACTGCTATTTGGGGAGCTGGCATTGTCTCCTTAGGTGAGGAACGAGTCATTTCCCACATAAGCTTCAACCGAAGCCCAACCTCTTGCCTCCTCCCCCATTTTTATTCTTCCATTAATTAAAACAACTAATGTTCCATCGATAATCTTTGCATGAATGAAAATCATTACGGGCCCTTGCAGGTATATGGGAAATTCTGTTTGCTCAAGTATTCACACTTTGATTTCCAATAGACTCATTTTCCCAGGCATAAAGAAATTCAAACAAAACAAAACAAAAACAAAAACAGAATCTCCTGACACTTTGCAGTAAAGCATGAAGACTGGTAGTAATGAGCTTGTGCCGATCTCTTGCAGGAAGGAATGCTCAGATGGCCCTGTTTTAGAGCTGAATTGTACTATCTGGTAAAGGCTTCTAGACAGTTAAGGCAAATGTGGATAGGTCATCAGACCTAGATTTTGAATTTGTGCTTGTGTTGAAGCAGATGAGCTCAATCCAAATTTACTTTTAAGCTACCATCAATCCTCAAAAGTAAAAAGGCAGGGGACAATCGTCTCTGTTTGGAATTTCCCAGCTAGTTGGCCATTTCAGCTTGCATCTCCATTTCTGGGGGCTGCCATAATTAGAGCGATCTATTTTGCATTTACTTCTCTTTGCAAGCACTACATTATTCACTCTTTCCTGTGCTTATTAAACAGTGCCACCTGCACCAAATTCAACAAAGCTCTTCCATCAGTCAGCCCAGTAAGGATCCGGACCATATATTATCATTAATTGAAGCTCAATTGAATAGTTGATGATAGAGGCATGAGTAAAAGCTACACATTTTCTAGGACCTGCTTATAAGAATGTTCGAGGCAAAAAAAAAAAAATTCCCCAAATTGTCATTTTTTACAAACTCATTTCATTCTCTCTGTATAGTAACTCAAGCAGCAATTAGCAAGTCTTTTAATTAATGAACTATTCCCTGTATGTCACCAAGGTGCCTGCAGCACAAATGTCCTCCTCCTTAAGGCACTAGCAAATGCAGTCAATATTTTGTCACCCAAAGCCTTCGAAGCTGACCACCTCGATAGCCCTAATACTATCAAAAGCATCTGAAGAGGCAGGGACAAGGCTGGGAGGCAGAGGACAATCTTGAGAAAACTAGCCGTGGATAGCCTGAATCCTGAGAGAGGGAGTGGCAGGAAGAAGGGATCCAGAGACAGAAAAGAGAGGTAGAAAATGAGTGTAGATAGATACCAGCGGTTAAAGAAAAGCCCAGAAAGTTTCTAGCAAAGATGGGACCATCTCTGAGTCTCAGCTATAACAAACCCCATCTAAATGCTGATGGTTTACACATTTTTAAGAGCATCAAACCTCCCTGTGCCTTGTGCTTTAAAAAGCTCTCTGCTTTGTTCAAAATACTGCTTATCTTTGGCATTGTCAACAGCTCTGCATCTGGGAGAGATTAATTAAGTGATAGGTCAGGCACAATGAGGTGAAAGGGCATGTCCACCCAATCAGGACTGATTCATCCATTTCTAGGTGAATCAACTTTGTTGAAGGATGCCAATTTCAGTTCCATTTTCAGGGAGGATTTATCAATAGGAATGCCTGAGCTCCCCTAGTGAGGGGCTCTTAGATGGAAAAGGTATTTCCAGACAGAAAAATCTAAAATCCACACTCTCTTTTACAGATGTGAAACCAAAACATAACTATAAATTGTCTGTAGGCTTAAGTTTCACTGATCTAGGTGAAGGCTGATTTTCTTGAACATGACCTTTTACAAAACAGCTAATTGGATGATTACAAATAAGACTGCTATGCAACACAATTTTAAAAAATAAAGACTTTGCTTTCTTTTCTCCCCCTTCTCAACTGTTCCTCATTGTCTCTTCCTTTCAAAGTCCACTTTTAATTTCTAGAGGCAAAGTGAAAGAGACAGGAAAAAGAGGAGGAAAGGAGGAGAGAGAGAATGTAAGAGAAATAGAGAGGTTGTCTAAGTGTTCGCTGAATTTTTCCAGACCAATTAGAGGTTATCTTTAAATCTTCACCCTTCCATGTCCCCCACACTTTTCTAAAAAAACTTTAGTGAGAAATCAGCTAATTGGAAAAGCCATGTGGCCAGTTCACCCTGTTCCTAACCAGAAGGGTTTTAAGGACCTTGGATCCTACTCCCCAAAATGACACTCTCCCCATCTCTTCAGCAGCATGTCAGTCTGGGTCAAAATTCTGATTGCCTCTGTGTGTTGGGGGGTGGATGGGTGGGTCAGAGAGAGACAGAGACAGAGAGGGAGGTAGACTCCCAGCCTGTGACTAATGCTCAAGTAAAGTGACTGTTTTGAGTAGACCCCAAACAAAACACTTGGAATATTTTTACTCAGTTCGTGAACACCCCTGGCAAATGAAGTTCTCCTTTTACAAGGCGTGGTGAGGTGGAGGTTGAGGGTGGGGGGAGGAGTAAACAATGGTTTGTGTTTTTTTTGTAACTGACCAACCATTTCCCCTTCTCCAAAGAAATGTAGAATGCCAGTTTCTTAACTATCCAATTCTTTAAATCATCTGGGATCCATCTATATTTATAAAACTGAGCAGAAACACTTAACAGCCTGATCAATAGCCATTGACCATCAGTGCACCTCACACCCTAACATGCACAGCTTGATCATGTATATTTGATCATTGAAAAATTCAAAGCATCTTTCAGCAGTGTATCAAGCTCCCCATAAAACAGTCTATCTTTTTCTGTGGTCTTAAAAAGTGTTGGTTTCTCTCTCTCCTGATTTCATCTATTTACACACACACACACACACACACACACACACACACACACACCTCCCTTCCTGGAGAGTTTATTGCTCATATATTTGATGAAGAACAAGGTAATTAACTGTGAGGCTGTACATCTGGGTGGTACTTCATATCCACTGTAATAATAAAACATTTTTTCCCCATTTTAGCAGAAGAAAGGCTAGTCCTGCCCACAGATTCAGAGGACCCCAGAGTCTCCATCTGCAAAGCCTCCTTGTTATAAATCCTGCCTCCCTCTTAAGTGATGGCATGCACAATTGCACCAAGGGGCACTAAGTGTATCTGTAAAAAAAAAAAAAAAAGCATCATTGGAAAAGCTTGTCCCTTCTCCGAGATTCAGCATCAGATACTAGGGGTTTGGAATAGACACGGGCTGGCTCCTCTGTCCCTAGTCTCTTTGGCAGGAAACGGGAACAAGAGTGCCAAAGGCTTGTCCTAGGAAGAGACACAAGTAGAAGACGTATATGTTGGGATCTCAGGGCTGATCTCATGTCCTGAGCACATGCCACTAAGCTCCAATATCCCCAAAAAGGACTCAGCTCTGCAGACTTTTCTGATATTCTGAGGTCAAAATACCAGAAACTGGTTCTAAGTTTCTCCAGTCTGTCGAAACCGCTCCAATCATCGGGTCA